ATATGTGAAACCACATGGAGATCTTTACTCCTAACCAGATAATATTTCATGAAGTTTCTATAAAGCTGGATGTTCTGTTTATTGCTGGCATCATAAATTGAAACTGGTTCTTTTTTTTTTAAATATTTGAAACTGGTTCTTTAATATATTAATACTCCCTCCGACCTAATAAGATTGTCCCATTTTTCCTTTTTTGGGGAAGTCCCACTAAGATTGTCCCATACCAAATTTGGTAAAGTTTGTGTGGCTCTAAATCATTCTTACTTTATCAATTCAATATCAACCACATAAACCCATTTTTCTTAATTATCGTGCCACCTCTTCTTGTCCCAATGAGTGGGACGGAGGTAGTGTTATATATCAATATTATCCTCCAATTAAAGAGTCCTATTTGAGCAAGGTACATTTTTGGGAAACATACAACTCTTATAAGTCATAAAGGATATTTGTTTTTAGATTTGCTTTTGGCTGTTTACTTGAAATTATCATATTACACTAGTTTCTTGCCTTTAAGGCTTCTTATAAGGTAATGATTGTATGATGGATGGAGTAATACATGTTCCCAAATCCCAACTGATATGGATGTGTTATGGGGTCGTGCCTATCAGCGACGACGATTGGGCCACAGAGGCACAAATAGTGCAAGTGAGGCCCAAGCAGAACCTGTAACCCTGAAGACTAAAAGTGGCTAACTTGAGCAGCAAGATTATTTATTACAATTTATTATTAGTCTCCTAATCAGACTACTATTGTTATTTCCTATTCCAGTTTTAGGCAGTTTCCTATTCCAGTTTTAGGCAATTTCATATTATCATTATGTCCTATTAGAATTAGAGGTCTGTTGACAGCTATATAAGGGACCCTAGTATTGATTAATACAACGTAAGGTACTTTTGGAAGAATTAGTTCTGGTGGGTCTTGATTAGGTCAGACACCAAATTAATTCCAATAAAGCATTATTATTTTCGTTTCTCTTCTGGTGCTCATAATAGATACGAAAATTGATCTTTCTCTTTGCCCTAGTTCGCTTTCATTCTCCCGTTCTCGACCTTGGATGAGGTCTTGCTCGCGCTCCCTTAACAACTTGGTATCAGCATCAGGCACAATGGACGGAAATTCTGCTAACAGATCCTCTCAAACAGATGATCAAGTCCATTGGTCAGCGACAAGTTGATGTTGAAGAATATCTGCCCTTGCACAATCTGTAACCAGCCTCGAAACTTTGCCAGCAGCCGTTGCATGCCTGGAACACCTGCCAGCAGCAGTCATGGCATTGATAGAGGCCGTGCAGAAATCGCAATGACAGCCCCCCCCCCCCCCTCAGATCCGCCTGGGTTTGGTCGTCGCTGAGAAACATATAACTGCCATCGAGATAGTGATGACTACGCTGTTCCCAGATTTTTCAAATTGGAATTTCCCCAGTTAGATGGTAAGAGCGACCCAACAAAGGACATCACCACAGGCACGCGACGGACTAGCATCTTTCCACATGGTAGGAACTGCTCAGTTATGGGCCGACCAACTGGACTCCTCAGGAGCCAGTCTCACATGGACAGAATTTTATACCAGATGCTCCAGACGCTTCGCCCCCCTTGCAGCGCCAATCCGGAGGGCAATCTCGCCAAATTGGTCCAAACAACTGCTTTGGAATCATACATTGAATCCTTCCAGCAACTATTGGCACGGACGAGCGGCGTATCAGTACGCATGCAGGTGAAGATCTTTACAGTTGGATTACGTGAGGCAGTCCGCATGGAAGTAGAAAATCAGGATCCACTTGACCTTGACTCTGCGATGATGTGGGCCCGTAACTGTGAACGCAAATTTGTGTCTCCACCCTTGACACAAACTATGGCTGGACACGCCCAACTTGCGCTTAAGTCAGCAATCCCTGCAGCCATCCCATCCCCTCTGCCTGCAATGACTACTGCTCGGCGCAGCCTTCCTCGTTAAAAAGAAAATACCCAGGCTGAAGCCGCAATACGACGCGCTAAAGGGTTGTGTTACAATTGTGATGATCAATGGGTACGCGGACATAGTTGCAAGAGATTGTTCTTCCTTGACATCGTCGATGAGGAACAATCAATCGACAATTTTCTAGAGCTTGACCCCGATTAACCCCTGTCACTTCACGCAATGACCGAGTTTGGCTCATCCTCAACCATGCAGTTAAATGATTGTCTACACGGCCACCCAATCAAAATTTTGGTTGATTCCGGAAGTACACACAACTTTATCCACAAGCGCCTTGCAACCACGCTTGATCCACAGCCGCCACAACAGTCATGTAGACATGTTATTGTCGCTAACGGTGACCGAGTTCCGGTCCTAGGTTCTGATCCACAGTTGGCATTCCACGTTGATGGGAAACAATTTACCTCAGGCTTTTACGTTTTGCCCATAGCAGGTTTTGACATGATTTTAGGTGTCCACTGGTTGCAAGGCCTCGGCGCTATTTTGTGGGATTTTAGGCATCTGTCCATAAGTTTACCTGGCAGGGAGTGGCAGACACTGGAGTGTCTGTTGAATGGCGTGGCCAAGAAGCAATGCATTCGCTTCATGTGCATATGACGGTAGACTCTTTCCCCTCTCAGGGGTCTATGAATGATTTACTGTCCTAGTTTGCAGACATCTTTGGCACACCCACAGGCCCCCCTCCCCAACGATGGTGTGATCACAGGATTTGCCTCATTCCAGGAGCTGGACCAGTGGTAGTGAGACCATACAGATGCCCATATTTTCAGAAAGACGAGATCGAAAAGCAGTGTACGGAGATGTTATCGCAGGGCATCATCCGGCCTAGTCGATCCCCCTTTTCCTCGCCAGTCTTGTTAATAAAAAAACCAGATGATTCTTGACGTTTTTGTGTGGATTACCGAGAGCTTAACTCCAAAACGGTTAAGGATAAATTCTCAATTCTAGTAAGTGACGAGCTTTTAGATGAATTACATGGTGCCAGGTGCTTCATTAAGCTTGATCTCCGCTCCGGCTACCACCAAGTCCGCATGGCACTGGAGGACATTGAAAAGACAGCATTTCGGACACATCACGTCCATTTTGAATCTTCTGTCACTCTTTCCCCTAAATTTTTTTAGTATGCCTCATAAGTATCCGTTTCCTCTAATTTTCACAATTATGTATTTCTCCTTTTCAGAAGAGTTTCCTTTTCTCTCACAGATTTGCACTAAGTGCATATTGCTGAGATCACTTAACATAAAAAGGGTTCATGAGCCAATCAATACCAACTCTGTTTAAACATTTTCAATCATCAATAAGCACTTCATCTGGGCCAGCTTTTCTCAATTTCTTCTTTTCAGCAATTTTTCAACTGGAGTCCTTTGGATCCTCCTCATATAATCTATATGAACGTCTTCATCTTTAATATAAATTGTGTTGGGATCATCAACCCAGTTTCCATTTAATAACTCATCAAAATATTGTTTCCACCCATTCTTTAACTCATCATCATGAATCAAAATCAGCTAATATGTAGTCTTAATGCATTTCTTCTTGCCAATGTCACTAGTCAACATTTCTCTCATGCGAGTCATCTTATGTATGTATCTTTTTCTCCCTCTTTAACAGAGTATTGTTTTACGCTTTTGACGTTATTTACTCCGGACTGCAACATCTCACTTTTGGTTTAGCAATTTCATACTCTGATTCTCCTCATCCCTAGACTTCTCCCAGTGTTGGTACTTTACATTTTTCTCCCCAATGACTATTTCGTTATTTACTTTCCACCATTTCCCTATTGTGACCTCAGTTGTTGACGGCTGAGCGTCTAGACATCAGTTTGGATTTATTTATATTTATTTATTTATTTATTTATTTATTTATTTATTTATTTATTTATTTATTTATTTATTTATTTATTTGTTTGTTTGTTTATTTATTTATATTTAATTATTTATATTTATTTATTATTTATTGATTGATTGATTGATTGATTGATTTATTTATTTATTTATTTATTTATTTATTTATTTATTTATTTATTTATTTATTTATTTATTTATTTATTTATTTATTTATTTATTTATTTATTTATTTATTTATTTATTTATTTATTTATTTATTTATTTATTTATTTATTTATTTATTTATTTATTTATTTATTTATTTATTTATTTATTTATTTATTTATTTATTTATTTATTTATTTATTTATTTATTTATTTATTTATTTATTTATTTATTTATTTATTTATTTATTTATTTATTTATTTATTTATTTATTTATTTCATGTCAATAACTTCCTATTCCTACATGCCCTAAACTTATTACTAATCTTCTTAGCGAGTAACTCACAAGTTTAAAACCAAAATATTCAATATCTTATAAATAAAAAGCAATTCAAACTTTTTAAATTAATGATTACCACACAGGCACATAATTTATTGGTAAAGCAACTAAACCTCTAAATATTATTGTAGTTTGGAAAGCTTGAAAATCAATAGTCTCAACAATCGATTATATGCATATTTGATTATTTTATAATCAACTATAATCAGAATCAATTTTTTCTAACAACTCACAATCTATTTGGGAAGCTTGAAAATCAGTCTCAACAATTGATTATATCATTTATATGTATATTTGATTATTTTATAATCAACTATAACCAGAATCAGTTTTTTTCTAACATATAAACTAGATTACAAGATTTCCCAAACATGCTCTTCGTGTAGACTGGTGTAGAGTAATTTAGAAGGTGCACCTTTCATTGAAAAAGAAATGTTGTTTCTAATGAGTGAATGGAGCTCTCATAGTACACAAAGCTATTCAGGTGGATAAACTTCTTAACCATGAAATGTGGTTGTCATATATTTCATGACAAGTTATAAGCATTTGGGGTAAGGCTTCTAGCGTGGGATATTCTCTATTGTACGTTTTTGTTTGTTTGGGCAAATGTTCTACGTAGTTCAAACTTTGCTACTGTTATTATCTCAATAATGTATAATCTTGTATCACATTCTTCACTATTTGTCGTTTGTAGAAAATGGACAAGTTGTGGATCCTGCATGGCTTGACAAGGGTTTGGGATCAAATTCCGCTACTCTACAGGAACCTGTAGCAATTCTTTCATTGGATTTTTCTGTAGTACGGAACAATCATGACAATTACAGAAACTCTAGTCCAAACCTAGCAAATGAAGGAAACCAGTCAGCAGTTCATGGTGAGAAGTGTGATTATCCCAACTGGGTACACCTAGTTGCATTTTGGAGAAGAACAGACAAACCTCTGTTTATTGCGTCAGCCTTTAGTATATGTTTAGTTCAATTCATAGCATGATAATTTAGAATGAATAGATAATGTTGGGGCCCGTGCAGGAAATAAACCTCACAGTGATGATAACAGCATTTCTCTGCACGAGGGAGGAGTTCCTGAGAAGGCTTTTGGTTGTGAAACCAGTGCTGAAAATGCTGAAATATTTGGTATTGATGGTGCTAGCAAGGGGACTATTGGTGCTCAATACTGCAAAGATTTATCTGATCGGGAAGCAGCACAAGCACAAGATGTGGAAGATATGGATATATCTCCAAGGTTTAATGATACTTGTGCCTGTCCCATAGTTTCTTGATTTCTCAAGTCTACTCCCATTTTAAAGAATTAAATGGTGGAACTTTGTTTTTTTCAATCATTTCTAGACAAAATCCTTATGGATCTAGATGTTTTTCTAGGTCAGACGTTCCTCACTCAAGACCGCGAAGTTCGCCGCCTGGTTCTCAAAGTAATGAAAAAAACAAACGGCAAGCAATTATATGTGACTTTTTTTCTAAAGGCTGGTGCATCAAGGGAAATTCCTGTAGGTTCCTTCATGTAAGGGATAATGCTGCTAGCAGTCCCAAGGAGGGTGGAGTAGATGCTAAGCTAAAAGGCACACTTGAAGGTAACCTACTTACAATTTGTAGTATTTTGAGGTTGGTCCAGTCTTCAAGGGGCAGTCCTAACTTGTATGTTGTACCTTGTAGGTTTGAAGGATACAACTCCAATATTAGCAAAGAATATGCCTTCTGATCCAGCACTTTCTTGCGTTGAACGTGAAGCAACACTAAGGTCAAAGAGTGGAGAGGAACTTCCGGTAGAAAAAAGTGATCCTTTGTCTATTACCTCTTTGAAGGACAATGACAAAGGCATGGAATATTTTGAACCTAAACCATACTTGGCCAATCATAGCTGCTCTTCCTTGTCAGTACCCAAGGACTGTTCTCAAACCTATGGGAACATCTCTTTCGATAAAGGGTTGCCATCTAAGAATTACCGAAATGCTGGAGTCCCCACGTATTTATCACATTTAGAAGGGATAAGAACTAAGGAAATCCAGTCACTGCATGCTGTCCCCCCTGGCTTGCAGAAGCCTGTAGAAGGTGGTAAAGAACGTTCTGTTTCTGGATCTGTTGTCTCTCTGCAACACAGGTCTCCTCCGATCTCTTGTTCTGAATCAGAACTAATTTCTCACGTTGATGTATCTGCCTTCACCCAGCAATCATCTCTGTGTAAGCCTAAACCATTCATTGACAATTGGGAGCGTTCTATTCCTTTTCGACCATCATTCTTGATAACTCGGCGTATGTTATCTGAGGCAAGCCTATATGATCCTATACGAGACAGTATTGAGCAAACAAAGGCTCAAGACAAGCCCTCACAGTCCCCTATGTCAGGTCAAGATACATCTGTTTCTGGCACACATGCGTGCGAGAATGCTGATCCAATAGTAACAGGAGGCCTTTTCCCTGATCAGAGCTCAAACAAACAGTCAGTTTCTAGCCACAGCTCTCACAAGGATACTGTTCGGAGAAAGCTGTCGGAGAAAGAAAATGAACTGAACGATACTGCTGGATCACCACATGAGAACGTTCGTACTAGCTCGAAAGGAAAACAGCTTTTGAAATCTACTGATTTTAGAGGTAACACAGAAACTGATAAAGCACATTATGGTAATCACACCATGCAGAAGAATGGATTGAAGCGTAAGATGGAAGTGAAGGCAGAGAAAGCAAAAGGTCGAAATAATGTTGATGTATTAGTTCTCCAGGAATCCAAAGCTGGAAAGCAGTTTCAGGCTGCTCTTGTGGAGTTCATCAAGGATCTATTGAAACCAACATGGCATTTGGGTTTTGTCAGTCGCGATGCTTACAAGATAATAGTAAAAAAGACAGCTGATAAGGTTATGGGCGCATTGAATCCCCAGCAAATTCCTGATACTTCCGAATCAGTCAAAGAATACCTTTCATGTGCTCAGCCGAAACTTGAGAAGCTTGTTAATGTGAGTTTAATGGATTTAAAAGATTAACTCAGAGTTGGGAGTATGACTAATGAATAATAAGTGCACAATTTTAATGAGGGTTTGGTTTTATTGCAATTGCAGGGTTATGTTGATAAGTATGGCCATTTGTGACATGCAGTACAAACGTGGAACCTAGTGTACTAGGTAGGTTGTTTGGAGCTATCCCAGCTGGGGGTATTAGGAGTTCTGCCAAATGGTTCCATTACTCTTCTGTTGGAGAGTATTATGTAATTTCTAGGGCCTAAAGCTCAATCTTATATAAAGACTAAAAAGCTCTACTGGTTCACTTAATTGTTTTTAGACATCAACAAGCTATCTGTTTTTTTTTTTTTTGTATTGTACAGTTTAGTATATCTGCCGTATAACTTTGTGAGTATCTTGAGTTACTTCTTACTACGAGGATAGAGCTTGCTAACTATTTTTTCCTTAGAAGCATCTTGCAGCACAAGGCTTTGGATTTGTTGTTTCTTCAACCATACAAGATGGTGCAGTGTAGTCATGTAGATTAGCATCACTACAAATCTCAATCTAGTAACCTATATTGATAAAGGTTGTATGCACATTGATTTGAATGAAGGTTGGGTAAACTCATAGTTTGTTATGCTTTGTATCACAGCTATGGGCCGAGTTCGTGTCTCTCACAAGCTGTGAAGTCTAGTTGCACAGTTTACATATGCAAAATTGAAGAGACATTCAAACAAATAATTCCCATTGCAAAGAGGACCAACTGTGGCAGCTTCAGTAGTTATTATTACTATCATCATCATCATTATTATTCTTTCATCTAGCCAGCATCTCTTCCACCCGACAAAATCTTAATATTTTTTCTATTGTGCATGTAAGATCATGTATATAATGTAATGATCGATTGCTGTTTGCCTCATTAAGTTAAAGGTGCAAAGGCATAAGTGAGCCTCTCGCCTCATTGAAGCCCCTGTTAGGGTTTGGTTTTGACCAGGCTAAACTTGCAAGTGTACAAGTGTCGATATAGTAATAAATTCCGGTAAAATACCGGGTCGAATCCACAGGGAAACGTTGTTTAATTGAAGTCCGAGAGTAGATATCTTTAAATAAAGAAATGAGTAAAGTGCAGAGATTTTGAGTTGTGTTTTATATTTTTGGCTTTTTACTTTTTTTGTTCAAGAAGACAATCTTTAACTAATTTGATTTTAAGATGAATGATAACAACAACCAAGGCTTTGGGAATCACTCAAATGCTTTAATAGGGTTGAATATTAGTTCTTTGCTAATAATTACGAATACGATGTCGCTAATATATTCTCAACTCCGGTTAAGGCAACGAGAGAGTGGTTTTCGATACGTGCAAGTCCCGTTATGGCTTACATTTATCTACTGAAAACTCCGTTGAATATCAAGACATAACACCCGTATCATATAATACTGGATATATTTCTATTCTCGCTAATATATATGTTTATCATTTAATGTTCATAGTTTAGACTTGGGAATAGGGAATACTGCAAATAGGTCCTCGAAGTTTCATAAAAAAGTCAATTAAGTCCTTCTATAGAAGACTTTGTCCGGTCATAGCGATTTGGAGCGGTTCCCGGTGGAATTTTTTTTATGAAATGTTTTGAGCTTCTTATTCATCAAGTCTAGTTTACCCATACTAAATTTCAGCTAAAAATTTAATCGGGAGCGCATTCGGGAACTGCCCCAAATCGCGACGGTCGGACAGAACCTCCTATAGAAGGATTTAATTGACCTTTTTATGAAAGTTCGAGGACTTATTTGACAGTTTTCCCTTTAGACTTTAACGTTAATTGCAAGCATAAATTAAATTTAACATACTTTTATGTTGTACACTATAGTCATAAACAATCAAAATGTAAAGGATAAATAACAATTTATTGGTTTAGAATTTTTATCAAACACCTAGTGGGCATAGAAGTTCATTCCTAACCTTAGCTAAGAACTTAGCCTCTAATGCTCATATTAATTACAAAAGTGAAACTAAGAACAATGAAATACAATAACATACAAGAAATAATACCTAGAACCTATTGGATGCTTTGGTTAGTTTCAACAAAAAATATATGAACATAAATAATTTTAATTTTAAGAGAGGTAAAAACTTATGTAAACTCTTTTATCTTTCTCGGTCCAAAATCAAATATCTATTAGACGCACAAAACTATCATTAGATTTAGAAAAATTATTTATACCCTTGAGAGTAGATGAATGGATTGTGACTAGGACTTTTTGGGTGTGTAGGATGTTTTTTTTTGTGTATTTGACTTTTGAGTATAGAAATGGATCGGTTGACATTCTTGCAAGAGACCATGTTTTTTTTTATATTTCATCTGAATAGATTCTCAACAAGTATTTACTCAAAGTCATTTTGATGATCCTAATTTATTTGATGAGATATGGGGTAGCTTGTTTTCCAAAACGGTTCTTGAATATTTGAGATGTACTTACCATTTTTTGGAAATGAGAGAAGGTGGTGTTCCTAGTCACATGGTTTCTTTTTTTTGGGTGGTTTTCAAGAGTAAAGAGTAGTGTAATAAATCTAAAAAAATGATAATTTATGTGAATAATCAAAACTTTCTGAACCAAATACCAATTAAAAAGAGAATAATCACAAGTTTTACCTTCCTAAAAAAATTATTTTGCACACAAAATTTGTTTAACTAACGATGAGATGCACCCCCACACTTGAGATACATTGTTCTCAATGTACATTGGAGGATGCAATGGAGGATGAAATTTTCAATAGAGGAATCAACCGTCTTGTGAGAGTAGGAGATGCATGATACATGAGTTTAGATGATGCTTTTTTTTTAGGGTTTCAGTTATAAATAAATATGAATATGTATTCAACCAAACATATTAAATATTTATAATTGAATTTGTTGGGTTGCCTCCCAATTAGCGCTCACTTTTACGTCATAGGTCGGACGCAACGTACCTTTTCACGTGTGATTGGGCTCCTAAAGACGTTTGATCAATGTTACCTTTGGGTTGAGCTCGTGCGGAGGCCATGGAGTTGGAGGTATGTTCTTTTTGCTCCCGGGGTGTGTTGGAGGGTCCTCGGGCCCAAATATTTGTGCTTTCTTGATGTCCATGATGTTTATGGCCTTGAGAGGAGTAAAAGGATTTGTGTTGACCTCCATGTTTTGAATTGGAATGGATTGTGTTTTCCATACATGGAATGTTTCATCGTCTCCTCCACTCTTAGCCTTACGGTCAAATGTTTTCCATCGCCTGCTTGTACATCAATGATGACTGCGGAGGTGGCCAAAAAAGATCTCCCAAGGATGACATGAACTTCCATCTCTTCCATGTCCAAAACAAGAAAATCTACCGGGAAGTAGAATTTTCCAACTTTGACAAGGACATCATCCATGATGCCTATAGGGTAGCGAATTGATCTATCCGCAAGTTGTAAAGCTATGATAGTTGATTGAAGTCCCCCTACACCAAGATTTTTAAATAAAGAATGGGGCATGCGGTTGATACTAGCACCAAGATCACAAAGGGATCTTACCTCTCTAATCTTGCCAATGGAACATGACACCGTGAAGCTTCCAGGGTCCTTCAATTTAGGAGGAAGTTTGTTTTGTAGGATAGCACTACACTCCTCTGTAAGGGCAATGGTAGCAAATTCCACCAATTTCTTTTTATTTGAGAGTATGCCCTTCAAGAATTTGGCATAAGATGGAATCCCCGCTATAGCTTCGGCAAATGGAATGTTGATGCTCAATTTAGTAAAAATATCAAGGAATTTTTCTATATTGAGCACCATCATTCTTTTTCTTCAATCTTTGAGGATATGGAATGAGAGGAACATAATTAGCCATATTTCATGGTGGCATCATATGCTCCTCATTTCCATCTTCTTTTTGCTTTTCCGGGGTCTCCTCCTCTTCTGGCATTTTTGGGTCCTCCGTTGTCTTATCACTCCTTGTGGTATTGGCCATCACATTCTCTCTTGGGTTCATCTCCGTGGTTGTAGGGAATATGCCTTGCTCCCTAAAACTTACTTTTTGGACAAGTTGCCCTATTTGAACTTCAAGATTCCGGATGGATGCCTTGTTGTATTGCTCAATGGTGTCGATACGTTGGTTGAGCTTCATATTTTGATCTTCAAAGCGAAGATCCAACTTGGTGAATTGAGAGTGGAGATTCACAATGGATGCCTCCACTCTATTATGATTCTCCCCATTTTGGGCTTTTATAGCCACAACATTTTGTGTGAGAGCTTTCATCATCTCCTCTATTGTTTGACCTTTTTGCCCTTGCTCAAAACTAGATGGGGGGGGGGGGGGGGTAGAAGGACCTCCTTGTGGTCTCCAAGAATTACCTTGGTTAAACCTCTGTTGATTGTTGGAATAGTTGTTGCCTCCTTGATCCCCCCTATTCCCATATGAGTTCATATAATTCACATCTTCAAGAGTTTGATGTGAATTACCTTCTGGTTGTGCTATGCTCCGCCTTTGCTTCTTGACTAGCCCTTCTAATCACGACTTGTAGAGCCATGTGAATAGAAGTTGAATTTATTTGTGCATGGCTTGTTGAAAATCAGCAAAGCGCTTGTCTAATTCATGAGCTATAGACACCTCGCTCACACCGGCCAATTTGACATCTCCTCCTCGTAATTGAGGATTTGAAGCAAAGGATTCAAGGATTCTTAGTGCTTCCGTTTCAGTTTTATTGCCAATATAGCCCTCCGCACGGTTTCTACAATGGCTTGACATGAAGAGTTCAAACCATTGTAGAATGTATCTATTTGAAGATCAAGGGGAATGCGGTGATGTGGGCATTTCTTCAATAAGGCCTTAAAACACCTCCATGCATCTTGGAAAAGTTCCCCAACTTGTTGTTTGAAGTTGAAGATTCGTTGCCTTAGCTCTTGAGTCATCGTGGGTGTGTAATACTTAGAAATGAAGACATTATAGATACCTTCCCACGTTGTAAAGGTTGCCGGTGCTTGCTCCAAGAACCACATCCTTGCCGCCCCTTTCAAAGTGTAGGGAAAGCTTTTAAGTTTGAGATCGTCCTCGGTGAGACCATGCCTAGGGATTCCTTGGATGAACCCATAGAACTCGGTGATGAAGTTAAGTGGATTCTCCCCCGGAAGTCCATGAAATTGAGGCATAGTGATGTGAGTTTTCTCGCACTTAAAAAGATTGTAGAATAGTGGTGAAAAGTACGAGTATCGTCTCCACATGGACGGACAAAAGGGAAATAAGAATGAACTAAATTCAGCGATTAAAAAGAAATAAATAAAATAAAAATGCAATTGTGCGAGATTGATTGGTTGGAAAATTAAACTAATGCGAATGAGCGATTAAAATAAAATATTGGTTTCTTTCTAATTAACGACGAAGGGAACAAGGATTGATTTCGGGGTAATTAGATTTCTGGCAGAACAGGCCTAACTACATGAAATTGATTTAATTGAGCCTATCTAATCATTACTAAGTTCTTACCACTCTCGCGGCATAAAGTACAATAATTTAGGGGACCAGGCTGATCTCTCATGCAACAGGATCCTAAATTATTGCCAAGTCAAGCGAGCTTACGAGTTACGGCCCCTTAATCGCTACTAATCTCTTAGCGATCGATTAAGTGTGTGTGAATGTGTCCTAGAATAAATTAGATCTCTCTTAATTTATTCTACAAGCAATTGTAATTTTAGCGGCCGTTCTAGGTTACAAGAGATATCAGTTAAATTATTCAAACACAAATTAAACGGCATTCATGCAATTAAGCCATCAAGAGTCTAGTCATACATCATGATTAACCCCTTCATCAACCCCAAATCCCTATTTAAACTACTCACAATTCATAATTGAAGAATCAATAGAATTGGGATGAATAGAATAAATTGCCATTAATTAAAAAGATGAACTTACAAATAATCTCAGGGTCTTGGAGTAAACAATCGTAAAACGCAAGTAAATTTGTCCCTAGGCCTCCCCGTAATGTTTGTAACCCTTAAACAGAAGAAGGGAGACCTTATTTATAGAAAACAGATGAGTTTGGGCTGAACTGGGACTAAAAATAGGCTGAAATCCGCGTTCCGTATGTGCGCAC